CAGCCCGGAGGAAGGACACGTGGCAGCCCACCAGGAAGGCTACAGTCACAGCAGGGTTGATGTGGGCCCCGCTGACCTGGCCCAGAGCTTGTACCAGGGTGCCGATGCCTAGGCCGAAGGCCATGGCGATCTGCAGCACAGAGGGTTGGGCCTGCGGCCAGTTGAGGGCTGAGCCCAGGCCAAAGAAGACAAAGAGGAGTGTGGCCAGGAACTCGGCGAACACGGCCCTGGAGAAGGCTATGGACCGGAGCTCCCACATGCTGCGGGGCCTTCCGCGGGCCGCCCGGCGGCTGGGGCCAGGAGGTTTGTGGTGCTCTCTCTCTCTCTCTCTGGGGCCCTGGGCGGCTGGGCTGTGTGCACTTATAGGGTGCCTCCATCCTGGATCTGGGCACGTGGGATGGAGGTGGAGTTTAGGCCAATACCTCTTCTCCCTCATGGCTGCCCCCGCTCCCAACCTTGGCCCCTGCCCACCTGCATGTCTATCACCCCATCTTTGCTTTCACAGCTGACTAATGTTCCCCATTAATGAGCTCCAGATAAGGACTGACGTCCCCTGTTTTCCGTGTTTGTTCCCTTGGTTACCCCAGGGTTACTGCCCCAGGGCCTCCCCAGCCCCCACAGCAATCTGCAAATGCCCGTCCTCTATAGCACAGTGTGGCCAATGTCCCTCTCTCACCCAAACTGTGAGTCGAGGCTGGGGCCACATCTCACCCAGAACTGACGGTGAGATGTCAAAGCTACCCTTCTAGTGAGATGTCAAACTACCTAGCTTCTAGTGACTGGGAGTTTCTTCCTGCTGTCTGACCTCCATTTATTCCTTCTTGAAGGGGATGGAAAACAACTGGTGGACTTGCGACAAAGTTCCAAGGCATAAAGGAACTTTGTGTTTTGTGCTTTCTTGTGGTTAATCTCCCCTAAGTCATTAAGCGTCAGCTCCTCCCTGGAGTCCCTACCCGAGAGCAGCTCCCATAGCCTGGAAGCAGGGGGAGTTTCAGTGGGACTGGGACCCTGGCCCTAGGTGATGGAGTCGCCCAGGGTCAACTGAGGAAGCTGACTTCCATTCCAGCATCACCCTGCTCCTGCTCTGACACATAATTGTTCTGTTCTTTCTCTGTAAAATGGGGCAATGAAACCTACCTCACAGGATTGGGATTTAAATTAAAATAAACAATGGGTGTAAAGCCCTTAAATGGGTGTGAAGCACCTGGCCCACTGTAAACAGCTCTTTCCAGTCATTACCAATGGTATCATTTGTGCTCTGAGAGGAACAGGTCCCTAAATTCAGGGACCCAGAAGCCGTGACAGGCTCTAGGCACCCCCTGGAGTTCAGAGCCATCTGGGCCACCGAGTGAGACATTTCTGTGGGGTGGTGAGCTGTGCAGTCTCAGGGAGGCCATGATACCTGATAAGCGACTCTCTGGCCTTGGTGCCACTAAGTCCAACCAGTGTCCCCATAAGGCCACCCCCTGCTATCACTGCTATCGTCACTGGGGCCCGGGAGAGGCTATTCCCTGAGCCCTCTAGCCCTGTCCCTTCTTTGGGGGGATCACAGTGAGGTCAGGAGGATGGGCTTCTGGACCTCTAGGCCAGTAGGTCCTTGGGCAAGTGACAGTCCCAGAAATGGAAATATGGGAGGGGTTGGAAACTACAGAGTAGAACTCCTTGTGTTATATCCTAGGAGAGAAAGTAAGGCCCAGAGAGGGAAAGTGGCTTACCCAAGGTGGTCCACCAAGTTGGTGGCTGATCTGGGACTGGGACCTAGTCTGGAGAGCTTTCCACAGTGCCCTCCACTGCCAAGCCACACTCCAAGTATTAGTTTCCTTCCACACAAAACTGTGTTGAGAATGCGGTAAGGAAATGAATGGGAAAGTGTTTGCAGCCAAGACTGCAACACACGCATAGACACACACACACACACACACACACACACACACACAAGGTTCTGCAACTCCCACTGTTCAAGAGGAGGAGGGGGAGGAAAAAACAACTACAAATAACTCAAATGGATGGAAGCTCCAAAAAGAGAGGGATTCTTATGGGGTTTGTGCCTAGGACAGGGAATGAGACACAGGCTCCTGTACCCTGGTACTGTACCCTCCTGGAGCATTCCAGAAGGAGAAGGCAGCCTGGACCTGCCTTATGACTCTGGGACCCACCTCCAGATTTGGCCTATAGAAAGCGACAAGGATCCAGAGGGGTCTGGCTGGGTGGCCTGCTCCCACCCAGGTTCTGTGCCTCCTCTACTCCCTCCATTAGTGATTCCATGTACACTGACCATACCAACACGCCAAGTTCCCACCTGGGCCTCAGGGGTTCCTGGGGAACTCTCCCCTTATGACCTGAAGTTGTGATAATGTTGCCCAAACCTACCCTCAACCACTTGAGTTGCTGTGTGTGCTTGGATGGGCCACACACCTTTTCTGCTTTCCCCTCTTTCATCTAGATTTTGTGATCATGTGACTCGCTGACCTGTGGTTCTGCCCCTGTCACAGTCAGGTGTCATGATAAACCCAGAACAGACATGGTGGCTTCTCAGTAGCCCAAGAAGCCTCAACCCAAGTTTCTGTTTCTGAAGTGGTATGGTATGAGGTGTGGGGGTGTGTGTATGTGTGTGCGTGCGTGTGTTTTTTCAATTGCACAATCCTACATTTAGAGCCACGGGACTGGGGGTGCAGCTCCATGGTAGAGCATGTGCATGGCTTGTGTGAGGCCTGGGGTTCCATCCCAAGTACCCAAGGGAGAAAAAAAAAAAAAAGAAAGAAAAAGAAACTGATGGAATTTTAGAGATTATCTAGCCTGTGGGTCTCATTTTACAGATTAGAACATGAAGTCTGGAGGGATCATGACTCACTGGATCACGCAGTTTACGACAGCAGTCAGGACACTCTTGTTTGGCCCTGAGCCTGGAATGAGGAGGAGGGCCCGACCATGACTGCGTCCCCACCTGGCCCAAGCTTTGCATGGGGCTTTGCTTTCTGCAAGGAAGGAAGGTGTCCTAGTCAGGATCAGTAGGGCTCCTGCTGTGCTTCTGAGTGGGCCTTATCTACAGCCACAACCACAGGAGTGAGCCCTCAGCCTTCAGGAGTCTAAGGAGCCAATGACACACCTGAGATGCACTACTGATTAGACTACGACCAAAAATGCCGACCAAAAAAGCTTTCTTGGAGATGGTTGCACACCTCTGTGAATGCATCTGAGACCGCTGAACTATGCCTTTAACAATTGCTAAGATGGGAAGTTTTATGTAATATGTATTTCACCATCATTAAAAATAATAATTTTTTTTTAAATGAGAGAAAGAAGCTGACCAAAAAAATTCTTACCAGCTAACAATTTTGTTTTTTATTACTTATTAAAAGAAGTCTTTTAGATTTACTTGGATATCAGTTTTTCAAGTCAAACTCACTTTTATTTATTTATTTATTTTTAACTGGGAATTGAACCCAGGGTCTTGATCCACATCCGTGCTCTTTTAATTTTATTCTGAGGCAGGATCCCGCCAAGTTGCCAAGTTACCCTGAAACATGATCCTCCTGCTTCAGTCTACTGAGTAGCTGGGATTAGAGTCACGTGCCCCGACTCTTGTACATAAAAAAGGAAATCAGGGCTGGTGCTGTGGCTCAGTGGCAGAGCACTTGCCTGGCACATGTAAAGCACTGGGTTCAATCCTTAGCACCACATAAAAAAATAAGCAAATAAGATAAAGGCATGCTGTCCATCTACAACTACAAAAAAAAACAACAAAAATTTTAAAAAAAGGGGGAATCATAGGCAAAACAGATTGATCAAAACAGTCTCCAAATTTCTTCACAGAGTTCGACTTTCCTAATCCCTTTTTGTCTCAGAGGTTTTTGCTGTAGCCTCTGTTCCATCAGAATGGCCCATCTCTTAAAAAATTGTCTACTTCTTTTCAAGCTCCAGATACTCATTCTGTAAGAATTATTGCTTCATGTGTGACCAGTGATCACTCTGCCCTTTTCTTACTAATAAAACAACAACACACATTCATTTTACTTTCTTAGGTCCGGTAAACACTTGGCTGCTGGTTTGCAAGAAAATTTGAAATTATAGTCATTCTTTAATGACAACTATTTGCTTCACTAATATCAAATTCTTGCTGCTCCTCTGTTTCCACGCCTTTCTGGGTACACAATAAGTACTTAAATGTTAAACCACAGTGTAACCTTTTCGAAAACATCTTAAATGGCAATTAAGCTGATCCTACCCAGGAAATAGAAGGCACTGGAAACTTTCCTGAGCAAGTTTAGGTTTGCACAGGCAATGACAACCACTCCCAGCTGCTGCAGGATGCCACAATTGAAAGACATTTACAATGGGAAAACAAAATATGCCTTAGGATTGATGAAATATTTCAATAAAATATTAATTATTAATATAATATTATATTACACGTGTTTAGTGCCCATTCTGCCATGTGCTGTTCTAGACATTCCTGCAAATCCTCACAGCCGTCTTATGAACCAGAAATTATTACCCCAGTTTTTAAAGATAAGGAAAATGAGGTAGAGAGAGTTTAAATTTCCTGAGGTCACACAGCTAGCAAGCGGGAAGGTAGAATAGGAACCCCAGTCTGGCTTCAAGAGGACATTTAAAATTCTTTTTTAGTTATAAATGGACACAATGCGTTTACTTTATTTATTTATTTTATGTGGTGCTGAAGATCAAACCAGAGCCTCTCCATCCTAGGCAAGCACTCTGTAGACTAAGCTACAACCCCAGCCCTTAGGGCGACATTCTTACGTTTTATAAAATGTGAAAGGGAATCCCTACCTCATTCCTTGAAGTAATCAAAATAAGAAAGAAGTGTGAGAGAGAGCTAAAGTCCTCTGAATAACAAAATGGATTAGAGTGTCTCTTGCTGGAGGACTGAAGGAGGAGGCTGGCACTCTGGAAAAGGGGAGTTGGGAAGGTGTTTGTAGGGTGCTGGGTCTGTGTGAGGGAATTTGGGAAACCTGTCCTCTCTGATGATTGACACCAGGTGTATTTCCTGCTCTGTATTGAGATGCAAATACACTCCACTTTTCCCAAGGTTGGTAGGAGCCACAGCCTTTGAAGCTGGGGATTTAGGGAGAAGGAACCGGGCTAATCCACAGTCTGGGCTCATCGTTTCAGAGATCAGGTCTTAGGCAGCAAACTGGCAGAAGTGAGAAGCTGGTGCTCAGGCTCCTCAAGATGTCGGGGATATCCTGCTGGTGTTGGAGCTGTGCGGTTCCCGAGCAGAGTATGAGCCATTTGGTTTCTGCGTAGGGTTTCCAGATAAAATACAGGACATCCGAGCTGGGTGTGGTGGGGCACGCCTGTAATCCAGGTGGATCTGGAGACTGAGACAAGAGGATCACAAAGTTCAAGACCAGTCTCAACAATTTAGCAAAACCCTGTCTCAAAATAAAAAATGAAAAGGATTGGGGATGTAGCTCAGTTCAATCCCCAGTCAAACAAAACACAATAAAAGAAAATAATCTCAGATGAACAACAAATGATTTTTGAACCACATTTCAAGCAAAAAGTAAATATATATATATATATATTTTTTTTTCTGCCATATATTTATATGGTATGGGTGATTGAACCCAGGGATGCTTAACCACTGAGCCACATCCCTAGTCCTTGTTTATATTTTATTTAGAGATAGAGTCTCACTGAGTTGTTTGGAGCCTTGCTAAGTTGCCGAAGCTGGCTTTGAACTGGCAATCCTCTTGTCTCATTCTCCCAAGGTGCTGGGATTATAGGCATATTTGGGATATACTTAGACTAAAAAAATAATTCTTTGTTTTACTGAAGACTTAGGGCATCTGAGTTACAAACCAAATCCTGACAAGGACTTTAGGGGATGAATCTTATTAGCTCCATTTTACCCAAAAGATATTCTAGTAGTTGTCCAAGATCACAAGGCTTGTAAGTGGCAGAGATGAGCTAGGAATATAGAAAGTTGGGAATTTTCCCAACCATAGGTGACTGCTTCCTCCAAATCCCACCTGGAAGTTGGGGTGCTCCTCAGGCCCAGGTGAAGGTAGGGGGATGTCACAGATACAGAATGCAGAAGAAGGACAGCTTTCTGCAGTCTTCCTCCTGCCCATTGAGGTGGGGGAAGGGATGAAGACATATTCTTGTTTTAGGTTATGGTCAGATCTTGGACTTGGTGTGACCCTCTCTGTCCCCTGCATCTCTGAGCCCTGATCCATGTGCCTGGAATTTGTGTCCATACTATCTTCTCATGGCTAAATCTACTTCAAACTCTAGGCCAGTGGTTTTCAAACCTTTTTGATTGAGACCTGCAGTTTAATATCCTAACCCGTAAACATTATCTCAGGTAGATCCATCCATTGACATAGCCAACATTTCACAAAACAGTATTTCCTAAGCATAATGTTTTATATCCTATTCTATTTCACTTAAAAGTAATTCAGGTCATGACTAAATTGATTTCATTATCCATAACAGGTTGTCACTCACAATTTGAAAAAATGCTGCTCAACATCCCAGCTGAAACAGCTCTTTCTCACTGGAGGAGACATCCTGTATCCCCAATAATACCCTCTACCCCAGGGACAACCCAGTGGTTCATCCTGCCTTTCTGTGTACTTGGAGGCTTGTGATGACCTGTTCAGCATCTGGCTTCTCCTCTGGACGGAGGCTTCCTGGAAGGCAGGGCCATAGCTAAGTTTGCTCACCAGTGTACCCCCAGCACAGGGCCAGGCACACCACAGATGCTCAATAAGTGTCTATCATGTGAATGAATGAGTGAACTGCCAACCCTTGCCCCCTTAGGCCCACCCTGACCCTAACCCTGACCCTGTTAAAGCTCAGGGACCTCATTCAGGGGAGAAGTTGATTCTCAGAACTTGGGTGGAGAGAGTGAGTATGTGCATTCTGTGCTTTGGTGGGGTGGGGAGGGGCCAGGAGCAGGTTTGCTCACATGTGACAAAAATTAGGTATGAGTGAAGGAGCTGGGAGCAGAGGTTTCTAGTAACTTGCCTTGTGAAGTAGTAAGTTCCTATTGCTCAGAGAGGTCCAAACAGGGGAGCAACCTCGGGGCAAGTGGTGGGAGGAGTTTATGCACCAAGGGAGACTGGACAAGCAGCATGGAGAAGCAAAGGCTGAAGGCTAATGAAGCATTCACACAGGAGAGCAGCTGGGAGTCATTGTGGGCACTAGCAGGAGAGGTTAACCAGCTGGAAGAAGTTGGAGGAGGACATATTTCCTATACTGTTCCTTTCTTGGCTGCTCTGCTTCTTCCCACATCACATCTGGGGGAGGTTGGCCAGGTTGGAGGCCTGGATGAGCTGAGGGTGCCTTGGTATCTACTGTCACCACCCCCCAAATCCCCGCTCCTGGGCTTCTGTAAATCCTGGGGTTCCTTCCCTCCAGGATGAGGGCAAAGGGGATGGAATTTGACAAATGGCTTAGAAGAGTTGGTGTATTTGCCCTATAGAGAGAAAGGGGAGCTGTGAATGCCAGAACCAGGCTGTAGCAGGGTCATTACCAGAAAAGGGGCTGGTAACAAGCGATATCCCATGACCTTACATGCAAAGGTCACCAAGCCTGTTTGGCTCCCCACTCAGAAACAGCTGCAGCCATGCCATCCTGGCCTCCCATTATCTGCCTCTAGCATTTGTGGGCTCAAGTGACTGGGTGACAAGCAGGATCCTGGGAGAGGGACTCCCCAGGGTCTCTCTCCTCCCCATCAGGCTCCCTTCTTCTTCCTGCAACTCCTAGCCCACCCTCTTCTGTGCCTCCCTGGCCTGAGCCTACCCAACCTACCCATCCCTCCTCCAGGCCTGCCCTGTCCCGCATTGGTATGAGGCTCACACTGTCCTCCCAATTATATGGCAAAGTGGGTACAAACCCTATTTATGGATTCAGGAAAAGGAGGCTGTAGAACACCAGCATGGACTCCACCTCCCCTGCCCTGCCCACAGCACCATCTCCCACCTCCATCAGAGCATGGATCATGCTGTCTGGGATGATTTGCAGAAGCTCTGAGGACAGGAGCTGTATCTAATCCACTTTTGTTGTCCTAATACTTCACACATGATTGGTATGGAGTAGACGCTCAAAAAAAATGTTTGTAGAATGAACTAAATGTTTGCCCAAGGTCAAACAGCTAGGAAGTAGTCAATCCATCATTCATACTTAGATCTTCCTGGATCCCAACCCAACTCCACACCCTTCACCCTCCTCCAGGAAGCCTCTCTTGTCTTAGTCAAGGTACACCCCCTTCCCCCTCCCAAGAACCCTGGGCTTTTGTTCCTACCTGGACAGGCTGGCTCTGATACCCCTTATTCTTCGCACAAAATCTGGGAGGCTTTCTGCAAGTGCAGGATACCCAGGCTGAGGGTGTAGAGCTCAGGAAAGGTCCCAGTGGTATCCTTCTGCTGGCTGACCCCTGCTTGTCCGGCCACAATTTGGCCCAGTACTGGGCTTGCTAGTTCTCACTAAGGCCAGCTCAGCCTTGGTACTCTCCCAGGGTGGATCCAGGTGGGGCACATAATCCTCTGCTCATTTTGCTGCAATTCAATATCAGCTTCCAATTTGCACGCTCTGCTGGGTCCTGCCTTCTACTAGGAGGAGGGGTGCTGCATATTCCCCATAGCAATACTGAGGGCCCCTTGGGTATCCCTCTGGCTGACCTCACTCCTAGGCTTGCTCAGGGCTGACCACTGGCCTTGGGGTGGAGAGACCACAATCTTCCCCAACAGAGCAAGGCCTGAATGTCCAGCAGCCTGGTGAATTCAGTTCCACCTCATAGGCTACACAGCTGTGGAATCCAAAGCCAGGCAAACTTTCCCACCTTCTGTGTTAATATATATAAAAGTACCTGCATCTGAGCAGGTATTCAAAAATACAAGTTGAGCCTTATCCAAGGGTCAAGGATCCTGTAGCTCTGGGAGGTCCTTTACTAACTACCCACATATTAGCTGCAATGTTGGCTCATTCTCTCTTTTTCTAGTTGGTGGATGCCAGTTTTCTTGGGATTTTTTAGGACACTTGAAATAGTTCATTGTATTTATTTATTCATGCAACAAATAGTTATTGCACACCAACCATGTGCCAAGTACTATTCTGGGCTTTTGAGATATATCAGGGAACAAACTGGCAAACATCCCTGACCTGATAGCACTTTATAGTTACAGAGTAGGGTATTCAGTTTAAGGGGCAGATTCTTAGATGGCCCCTCTCAGCCTGTTCCCCACTTTTTTTTGGTACTGGAGATTGAACTCAGGGGTACTCAGCCACTGAGTCACATTCCCAGCCCTATTTTGTGTTTTATTTAGAGACAGGATCTCACTGAGTTGCTTACAGCCTCACTTTTGCTGAAGCTGCCTTTGAACCCCAATCCTCCTGCCTCAGCCTCCCCAGCTGGTGTTCTCAACTTTAAATGGCCAGAATGAAAGGAGATGAAAAGAAATTGAAAATATTGGAAAATAACAGTATTTACTCTCAGTGATTTCTTTTGCCCCAGCCATGCAACTACCACTTGCAGTTGAGTGATACAATTTAAAGTGCAATCACATGTGGGTGTTAGGCCTTGAAAAGATAGTCACAGAGTTAACACAGGACCCCACAATTCTACCTAAGTATATACCCCAAAGACTTGAAACCAGGTGTTCAAACAATAACTTGTACACACCTGGCCACGGTAGCCCTATTCCAAATAGCCAAAAGATAGAAACAACCCAAATGTCCATCAATAAATGAGTGGATAAACATGAAAAAGCGACATCTACGCAATGGAATATTATTCAACTATAAAAAGAATAGAGTACACGCTACTACATGGGTGAATCTTGAAAGCATTATGTTGAGTGACAGAAGTCAGAATAAAAAGGTCATATATTAAATGATCCCATTTAGAGGAAATGTCTAGAACAGGCAAACCCAAAGAGTCATTGAATAAATAGATGAGTGGTTGCCAAAAACTGCCCACCACACCCGGCCTGAGCTGTAAATGTTGAGATGGTTAAACTGGAAATTTTTGTGTTGTTTTACAGTTTAAAAAATAAAAAAAAAGTGTACTGCAGCAGTGGCCTTGCCCACACTGGATTTCTTTTCTTTCTGGGGGGTAGGCACTAGGGATTGAAGCCAGTGGTGCTTTACCATTGAACCACATCCCCAGCCTTTTTTTAAAAAAAAAAAAAAAAACTTTTTATTTTGAGACAGGGCCTTACTAAATTGCTGAAGCTAGCTTGAACTTCAGATCCTCTGCTTCAGCCTCCCTGCCCCCAGTCACTGGGATGTGCCACCACACCTGGCCCTTGTATTTTCTCCACTTCCCCCCGGAGCCTTTGCACATGCTGGTCCTTCTCCCTGGGGTGTTCATCCCTTACCTCTTCTTTTAGTTGACACATCTTTGTCCTTTGGCTCTCAGCTTGACCCTCGCTCCCTCAGAGAGGACCAAGTTCCTATGTCTCCTGCTCAGAGAACCGTGTACCACTCCAGCGGAGCACACACGTTGGTCATGATTATAATATTTCTATGAGAGATATCTCATTCCTAAATTGTAAGCTCCATGAGAAACCTGTGCATTTTTTTGCTCCCTGATATATTCCCCAGGGCCTGGCTCAGTCTCGGGCACATGGTAGTTTCTCCATAAATACTTACTATGTGCATAAATCACTGCCTCTACGGGAATTCTAATAGAACACTTCCCCACCAACCTCATCCCAGCCCATTTCCTTGCCACTGTCACTGCCACTGCCACCATTGATCCCTGATAAGCACCTCAACTCATTGTCGTAAGTGCCACCACCATACCCCACTGACAGGTCAGGACAAGGCCAACAGAAGGCAGAAATGGCAATGAAGAGGGGCCACAAAACTTGCAGGCAGCTTAGGCGTGGAGATGGAGTGAAGGATGAAGTCCAGGTTGAAGGTGGGTATTAGGGTGAGAGAAGTCAAGTGCCAGGTGGAGCAATTGTCGGAGTGGGAAAAGGGAACATGAGTTAAGTCAAGGCTGCAGGGGGTGGGCTCGCTGATAAGTGCCTGTTGAATAGGAATAAAGGACCTGCCAGGATCTGCAGGTAAATACCTGTCCCATAGCAGAGCACAAGGATGGATTCTGGGGACATTGAAAAGGAGCCTCAAGGGCTGGGGTTGTGGCTCAGTGGTAGAGCGCTTGCCGAGCATGCACAAGGCACTGGGTTTGATCCTCAGCACCACATAAATGTAAAATAAAGATATTGGGGAAAAAAGAGCCTCCAGCTGGGCATGGAGGAGCACACCTGTAATCCTAGTGGCTCGGGTGCTAAGACAGGAGGATCACAGGTTCAAAGCCCTAAGCAACTTAGCAAGAACCTGTCTCAAAATAAAAAAATTTTTAAAAAAGAGCTGGGCAATCCCAAGAAACCAAAGACCAAATGTTCTCTCGGACGTGCAGATGCTGACACACAATGAGGAGGGGTGATGGGAAGTTCACTGGATTAGACAAAGGGAATGAAGGGAAGGGAGGGGGACAGGAATAGGAAAGACAGTAGAACGAATCAGACATAACTCACCTATGTTCACATATGAATTCACGACCAGTGAGATTCCACATCATGTTCAACCACAAGAATGGGAAGTTATACTCCATGTACGTATAATATGTCAAAATACTCTGTACTGTCGTGTTATCTAAAAAGAACAAATGAAAGAAAGAAAGAAAGAAAGAAAGAAAGAAAGAAAGAAAGAAAGGGCGGGCTGGGGATGTGGCTCAGTGGTTAAGTGCCTCTGAGTACAATCCCTGATATAAAACAAACAAACAAAAAGGCACCTCGAGGTGACTTGGAGGGTGGTTGGACTAGGTTTGAGGGAGAGAGAGGAGTGCAGAATGACTGGACCCTCCTGTCCTGTGGGAGCTGGGGAGCTGGGGACGGGGGAGGATTCCAGGAGAGTGGTGATGGGCGTTCTGGGTGTTCTGCTGTTGATGTGCTTCTGGGAGGGGCAAGAGAAGGCTCTGGGGAGTTTCAGGGGCCAGAAGGCAGTGGGTGGGAGCAGGGGAGGAGGCAGGGGCTTCGGTGATGATGGGGGAACTGGGGGATGCTGGTTGGAGAGAGGCAAGAGGGGATAAGAGATGGACTCCATTCCCAAGGAAGATGGAGGGGCCAGACTCCAGAATGCAGCTGTTCCCAGCCTGGGAGAGGGAGGCCTTGTTTCAGGAAGGAGGAGAAGCCAGCATGTGTGATGGTGAAATGTGAAGTGTGAGGTGGCAGGAAGTTGAGAGACTTCCCATGTTTGGGTTTCTGCTTTCTTTGTGGATGAGGATGAAGGTCAGCTGCTCAGAGTGAGGCTGGCAGAGGTGGTACCAGGAGGCCTGGAGAGGCTTGGAATAGTTGCATCAGAGAACGGAGATGCAGGGGGCGGAGGCCTGTGGAGAAGGGACAACAGAGAGGTCCTATTGGAGGCCAGAGGCCAGACCTGAAGGTGGCTTACTGTTCTCCAACAGGGCTCAGACATCCAGGGTGGAAGCCCAGAAGGCAGCCAGCTCCTTAGGCCCAGAGGGTGGGTGCAGGGGGTGCAATGGATGCCAGGCAAGGGGTGGCTGACAGGGAGGACAGGAAGGCCAGAGGGGCTTGGAGGTGGTGAGAAGGCCGTGGTGGGGTTCTGAAAGTCCAGGGGAATGAGACTGTAGGACAGACAGACAGGCAGGAATGAGGACACCAGAGCACAGAGGGATGTGGCCAGAGAAAGGTGTTTGAGTTGAGAGCATAGAAAACTTTTTAGGAAAGACAAGCTCTCGGTGTGACCCTGGGAGGTGCTGACTTAGGTGGAGAAGGGATGGCCTTTGGAACCAAGAAGAGGCTGGGAGCTCACCATGGAGAGCAGAGCTTCCAGGATATCCAGGAGGTACTGAGAAGGTTCTAGAATAACACGAGGGGGAGTCTTGTCCAGGACTCTGTCAAGAGTGGGAAGCGAGAGAAGGAGTAGGAAGCAGAGCAGGCAAAGCTGATGGCCCCATGTGCCCCAGTGTTGGGTGGTGATGATTAAACGTAGGTTTCTAGAACAATGTCCTATGACAGATTCCAGTGCAAGGGGAATCCAGGCCTCTCTGCAGCATTCAGCTATGGCTGGGGTTGCATTTCCTAGGAATCCAGGACTCTCTGGCCCCACACACATTGTTTTCATCTGGCCCTCAGCATCCTTGCGACAGTTGCACAAGAATGTGTATTTACTGAATGCCCCTGAGTTGGACACTTGGACGTGATTGAAATGGTGAATTTTGAGCCAACTGATCCATCCTCTGACCACAGGGACCATCTAGTCCCTAGACTGCAGCCAGAGTAATGGCAGCACTCCCAGTCTTCCACTTGTTCCCACTCCCTGTTGCCTGCAGGTTGGGCTCCAGTGCCGTCTTGCAGTCTCCCCTCTCCCACATAGACCACACTTGCATTACCCGGCTCCCTACTCTCTGGGCCTACTCTCTCCTGCCTCCAGGATGTGCGCCTTCTCCACCCTCTGGTTGGATTCTGGCCCCCACCCACTCTTCCTCCAGGAAGCCTTCCTTGATGA